CTATATATCTAGAAAATCTAACTAACATGACTACAAGCTTTACTATTATCGATGATTATCCATTAACAACCTATATTTCTTAATTATAGAGTACATATTTAAATGAACTACACAATCACAATACCTTAATCAAAATCAGAAACACTTATACATATAACAAAATTGACCTTAAATCTCTATCAATATAGCAAAATCTATACTAATGTAAATTATTCATATCTATATCATATCCCCCTTAAAATGTAAAAGAACGTTTATAAACCATATTTGGGAACATGGGCGCAGTTTTTTCTCTCCAAACTGCTTCCTGCTGAATGGGGGCGTCGTTAATTAGGTCTTTCATGGTATAACCTGTGTGCTAGTTTCATCTCAGTTGGCAGTTGAGCGAAGCAATTTTCTGAAGGCGTGCACAGGAACCATTCAGGAGGACGTGGTCCATCATACCAAATCGGAATAGAAGAAATGAACAGCGTCTCATCCTCTGTGAAAACAAAATAAGAAACTCCTTTCCAAAGTATCATATCCTTAGATCCAAATTCAAAATATCTATGTTGGATTAGTTCAGCAGTATTTATAAATAAATATCTTTTAGCAGCTGTTGCTCCTTCCTCAGCATTCAAATAATTCAAAGAAAGCATAATAGCATACAGTATCAAGATTCTCTGTGTATTTTCCATCTTTGTACAGCTTTGTTTTAACGTCTATTTTGTTTATTTTTACTTTTAACACTTTGCTTTTTGAGACAGGTTCTCTGTATCTTTGACCTGAAGTAACTCTGTAAACCAGGCTGTCTTTGAACTCTCAGAGATCCGCCTGTCTCTGCCTCCCAGGCATTCGGGATTAAAGGTGTAAGCTAGTACACCTTGAACTCACAGAGATCTGTTTGCCTCTGCCTTCTAGGCACTGGGATTAAAGGCGTGTGCTACCACACACAACAACTCTCTTCCTTTTTTTGTTTTTTACTTTAAGAACTTCAACTTTTAGTCTGCATATATTTTTAACACACTTCAAACCATTTAGAAATTTTCTTTGTCTTTGAATCTCTCTTTACTGTATATCTCTCTTTTTCTGACCACACGAGTCTTTAATTTACCAAGCAATATCAGTAGGATTAAAGGCGTGGCTTTGCCAGCTGGATCCAGCCCATTCCTTAGCTTTCCAGCCTCATGGCTGAGGTACTGGCTGTAGCCAGCAAGCGAGCTTCAGCAGCCTGTGCTTGCAAACCGCACAAACCGCCTGCGTAAAAGACTCAGAGTTTGCCCTGGCAGGACAGCCCAGAAAGCCGGCATTTTTAAACAGCACAGCTTTTTTCCTGCTACGGCTGAAAACGGAAAAGCATGCGTTCAGCTTTTCGTCAACACCATTTAAGTGTTTCGTGGCAGGACCTCTTAATGAGCTGCAGGGTTTTGTAGCTAAAGCTGAGTCAGGAAGCCTCTCTTAGATGAGGTGCTTGCTTGCCTCTAGCAAGCAGAGTAGAGCGAGTCTAGTTGCCATCAAACAAATCGTAGCACTTTACTCCAAATGCTCTATTCAAAAGCTCTGTCTCCTGCAGGAACCAGACAGAGATCTCAATGGCGACACAGCCCCAGGAAGTCCCGCTTTAAAATGACACAGCGTTTTTTCTGCTACTGTTGCCGAATCAGGAAATCTCTCTACAGCATGCCACCATTCTGTATTCTTGTATTGGCGCCTTCCCATCTCTTCCTTCAAATGGAGCCAGGAGAGGCCTGGTCTCTTGGTCCAGTCTTTGCTGTGATTGACTCTCAGGGTATATCTCTTCAGTGTAGAAGCAGGAACCGTTCCCGTCCAGATGGGATTCCTCAGCAACCTTCCTGATGGGATTCCTCAGCAACTAAACAGGGCCGCCGGTAGCCCAATGATCCAGGGCCAACAGGATGAATGGAGCAAGTGGGGGGATGGGAGGGGTGGTATCCAGGAGAGCGCAGGAAGCCTGGCGCCGGAGCTGAAGGTGCCCAGCTCCCTTACAGGGGACCCTGAGGCCTGCCGGGTAGGCAGGCACTCACCGCTCTGGGTGGGTCGCCTTAGTTTAGGAGCTTAAAACTAAAGTTGAGCACTGGTCCTAGCATACAGCAGGGCAGGGTTGGGGAGGGGTGCTGGGGGTGCTGGGTCGTGCGAAAGAAAAAAAAGCAAGAACAATGGTTTTTGATCCTACTGCACGTACTGGCTTTGTGGGAGCCTAGGCAGTTTGCTGTGCGTGATTTTTTAAATTCTTACTGGTTCACTAGGGAAAGTAATGCCAGCCTGTTCTACAGGGGTGCAGCTATTTGGTCATCTGCCTGAGGCGGTGACCTCAAAACTTGTAAACTATTGTCATAAGAAGTGTTCTACTTGAAGAGCTGAACATTTTCTCTTATAAAACAATTTTACCAAGATTTTAACGTGTGTTGATGCTTCTTACTGAGTCAGTTGTGACACCGGGAATTGCAAGACAATAGTTTTCTGTTACTGGCATTCCTTTAAGATGTATGATTTAACAGAAGAGATCAAACAGAAAAGGCAGCTGTGATACTGACTTTAGCAGAGTTTAGCAGGGTACTCTAAACATCCTGAGTGAAATCTGTTCTCTTGACAAAAAAAAAAAGTTTTAGAACTTAGTATATAGTGTGTAATTGCACCAGCACTATAATCTTGAGACTATTTTATGTGTACTGTAAAGCAAAGCAAATAAATACATTCTTCAAAAACACACATAAAATGAGTAGAGAAAAACATTATGATACTATGTACTTAAAAACAGTGTAGACCGCAGTGGCATCAGGAACAGGGAAGTTTATTAAACCTTGTGAGATGCGATTAACTATCAATATGTGTGTGTGTGAATGATTTTTTTCTCTCTAAAACCATAGTATTAATATTTTATGTCCTTAATGATGAATGTTTAATTATGATGTGATCAGATTTATCTGTTTTGAGCCAGGTATGATGGCACATGCCTTTAATCCCAGCACTCAGGAGGCAGAGGCAGGTGAATCTCTCTATAAGTTCAAGGCCAGCCTGGTCTACAAAGCAAGTTCCAGGGCAGCCAGGGCTGTTACAGAGAAACCTTGTCTCAAAAAAATAATAGTTGTTTTAATGACAATTACTTTTCCATATATTGCCCAAAAAGTTTTTGCGTGCCCCCAAAGACATTTTAAATATTTTAGATGCTTCATAGGTTTACTTTGTATAAGACTATGATTGGTCTCAATCTGTGCATATGATGTGAGACAGGTCCTAAGGTTTTTTGTGAGCATTCAGTAATTACAAAACTGTTAGTTGAAAACTGGCCTCTGATTGCTTTGGAGAGCTGGGGAAATTGCTCAGTGGATAGGAGCATACACTGACTTTGCAGAAGATCTAATCAAATTCAGTTTCCTGCTCCCATATCAGGCAGCTCTGAAGAGCTGGACAGCCTGCTGTTAAGGGGGTCTTTCTCCAAGGAGCAGGAACACCTGGGAGGGATCTCCACCCACAAGCTGGGCTCTGGCTGAGAGATGGATTGGAGTGGCCAAAAGGCTGTGCCCAGACTTTGATTGGCAGGCTGTAAGCAAATGAGGTCGAAAATAATGATCAATCAGTGGCTCCATGGAGAGCCCACCAAAACCAAGAGGGCTCTCATCAGGGCTATGCTCCATCTCCTCCCGCCACCCACCTTGCTGATGTGGCAGAGGCAGGGAAATGGAAGCAAGACCAGCAGAAGACACCCCATGGGTTTGACTTTGTTCCCTGCTGGTTCTGATCATAGCCAGGATTTTTGGTTTGTGTTCAAATCCCTAACTACTGGCTAAAATCACAGTCAGGGCCTCTATCATCTTGCTTTTTGAAATATATAAATAAGTTGTTTTATTTAATTTTTTTTGATCTTCCTGTCTTTTATTTACACTTTTCAGATTAAACTTTTAGTGGTCATATAGCTACTACAATGTATACCTAATTTACATCTGCTTCTCAATCTATGGAGCTAGTCATCTCCATATTTCCATTAAACACACAAACTTTGATTTTAAGACATGCATATGGCACAGTGGGAGACACCAGCTTCATTCCTTTCAAAAACAAAGTAATTAGACAGTTATCTATAAGAGAAAATAATCACAAAAGGGCTCAAGAGTCCAATCAAGAAGTGCAGCAACAGAGGAGAACAAAAGGCAGGAAAAGGACAGTGAACAAACTGCTGGGACTCCCGTCATCATAGGACATCTGGTGAAGAACAGAGGAAAAGGAGGTATTGGTATCAGCCCACACCACCACATTCCCCAGTGGCCTGTTCTACAGCAGAAAATGGCAATTTTCATCCCTGAGATGACCAAAGACCTTGTTACCAAGAGTGCCACAAAGAAGTAGGCACTGACACATTGCAGAGAAGCAACACTCACACCCCTGAAACTGACACTTTACCCAGTTCCGTGAGCATCCTACGTGCACCCCTGCTGCAGACATAAGAGCTGCTACTGCTACAGGCAAATCCTCTGTGGGCCATACAACTGTCCCAGCTCTGAGTGTGCACACTCTGTGAACACCCAGGTCTCACACACCAGAGTCACTGCCACAGCAGGGTAGCCTGCGCCTGTGCCTAGGGCCACTGTCTCTGTGTATCTGTGCTCCAGACTTTCAGGCCGATGGCCACACTGAATACTCCAGGAGATCAGACAAGCACCCACTTGAGCACTAGAGCTGGGCTGTGTGCACCTGTGCTTCAGGTACTGGTTCTACCATGTTCCTGTGAGCACATGCTCCTTGCATGGCATTACCAGTTCAGCAGTAAGCGAGCCTGTGTTCCAGACACTAGTACTACCTCCTCCCTCTGCAGCTCAGATACGCATGTCCGTGCTTGGCTCTGTGCCACCACATAAGAACCACTCATCAGACACTGGCACAATCACTGCCAGTAAGCTGGACCCAGCACCAAAAGAGACACCCCCAATCATGACTTCCCCTATTGGAGAAAGAAATCAGAAGAATTCCAATGACCTATCAAGGGCCTCCAAAGTCCCTGCTACCATGGACATCCTTGGAGATGTCTTGGGAACCCATGCAACTTTCATCAATCTCAAGGGACAGAGTTGAGTAGAGACTATGGTACTGGTCCTTCACGAGAACCAAAGCTGCCACGTCCCTTCTTGCCAACATCTTCACACTTCTTTCCATGTAGCTATTGGGTTTGAGGTGTCTGCTCAGAACTCTATGTAAAGAAGCGGGACCTTGGTTATAACGGAAATACAAACAAAATGTCAAAAATGCAACATATCAGTTGTGTCTCGGTGATAAAATGCCTTTCCTAAAGGAAAGCTGGGAGGAAGGGGTTTGCCTCCCTTACAATTGCAGTCCATCATGAAGGGAGTCAGGCTAAGAATTCAAGGCAGGAACCTGGTGGCAGGAACTGAAGAAAGCCCATGGAAGAATTCTGATTACTGACTTTCTCAGTTTGCTTTCTTATACACCCAGGGATATATACCTGCCCAGGGATGACATTGCCCATGGTGTGTTAGGCCCTTCCATATCAGTCATTAAGAAAATGCCCCACACAGGCTTGCCAACATGCTGACCTGATGGAAGCATTTCCTCAATTGAGATTCCCTCATCTCAGATGACTCTAGTTTGTGCCAAATTGACAAAAAAACTAACAACAGAATAGGCAAAATAAAACTATTACAAATGCTGATAAGAATGTAGAACCAGAGCTCGTTCATGGCTGACATTTGAGACTGCACAGCCACTTTGGAAGACATCTGGACAGTTCCTTCTGTAAACAGGACCCAGCAATCCCAATCCCAGTTATATTTCTGAGAGAAATGAAAATGAAAGCTCATAAACCAAGGTCCATACACAAACACTTGTAGCTTTATAAATAGTCTCTAAAAGCTGAACAGCATCCTTCAGCCAAAAGATAAACAAAACACATTCAGAACACAAAATACTATTCAATAAAAAGGAACAGAATTGATATGTATGTCTAGATGGATTAATCTTAAGTGCATTTTGATAGACAAAAGAGCCAGACAGGCTGAGAAAACTAGTATGGTTTCTGACTCCATTCATTTGATATCCTGGAAAATATGAGACTACAAAGATGGGAAACAAGTCAGTGGCTGCTGGAGGATTGAGGATGGAAAACCATCTGATTACTAAGTGGCAAGAAAGGGAGCTTTAGGGTGATATGACTGAACTCTGTGACTTATGCATTTGCAAAAGCCACCAAACTGTGTGACATGGAGGAAAACTTATTATGGGCCAGTATTTAGAATTCAATCAGTATTTTGGAGAATTTGAAGATACAACACAGACTATAATGAAAGACTCCAACTGGATTATAGATACATAACTTCGCTACAGCAGCCTCAGCAGAAATAGGGTGAACTAAGCAACTGCAGAAAACAGTGTTTTAATGGGAATCTAGAAGGCTAAGACAACAAAAGCAATCGCAAAAAAAAAAAAAATGTACCCTACTTGGTGTTTCTCAGAGGAGTACATGCTGGCAATTTCAAAACTACTTTACATATCTATTAGAGTTAAACAAGTGAATACACTGTAGGCGACAGGAACACTGTATCTCACTGTCAGAGAAGCAAGCAATGAGAGTGCAGAATAAATCTTGTATTAGCCAGAAATATGAGTATGAACTCTTGTTTAATACATCGATGACTAAATAAAATAAATATGTCTAGATGCATGTGCAATGAAGAATTAGTTTAGGAGGACTATTACTCAAACCTTTCCTATTCCAAAAGACCCATTCCTGGCTGGCCCTTGGTTGGCTCCTGCAGTATTTTGTTGAGACGATGTGTGCAATCAAGATAATCTGTGCAATCAGTGTGATTTGTGCAAAACGCTTTCCTTTCATAGATGTGGAACTTAAGAAAACACTTTCTCTGGGAGTGTACAAGACTGACTCCCAATCAGAACTCTGAATTTCTAGGCTCAGGCAAACTTTCACAGTAGACAACACCTTGAATATTACTGGGTAGTCATGGTACATTGCTGGAACAATCAACTCTGCATTCTGTGGCCAACTACTGGGCCAAGTTTCCCACTAAACTCCTCCAGGTTTCATTTCAAGATGATTTTTCTCTGCTTATTTTGCTTTCTAATCATGAGAATGGTGATTTTGAATCTAGGTACTCTTGGGAATGCCCAACACACATGAAGTATACACTGTTCACTACATCTACCTTTAGCTCTTTTGCACTGCCCATTGAAAGGGTCTAGAAGCATGCCTGGTAGCACCAGATCTTTGTTAAGATCATATCATTGTATTTGCAAGTGCAAACTATTTGACCATGGGGCTGGGAAGAGAACATACAAGATGAGGTGGTGTAGTGTATAAACTCAGAAATGAAGGGAAGAAGAGACAAAGGGAGAGACACAAAGGAAGGAAGGGAGGGAGGAGGGAGAAAAGGGGAAACAGAGAGACCAAGACCTTATCCTGTGGCCAAAGTGAACAAGATAAAGTATCATGCTGTTGACATGCACACCAAAGGATAAAATAAATACCCTGGAGTACATACTGATCCAAATAAATGGAGGTAACATGTTAGCAAATCTTTAAGAAGAATTTCAAAGGTCAGCAAGATAGCTCAGAAGGTAAAGGCACTTGCCAACAGACCTGAAGCATGAGTTGGATCCTTGCAGTAATAAGGGCGTCGGGGCTGCGTCCCCAGCACCCCAGCCGCCTGCACGGCTAGCTTATGCCCGAAATAACAACACACAAACTGTATTCATTTAAACACTGCTTGGCCCATTCTCTTCTAGGCTAATTCTCACATATTAATTTAGCCCATTTCTAATCATCTGTGTTGCGCCCCTAGGTGCGCTTACCGGGAAGATTCTAGCCTATGTCCATCCTGGGTAGGAGCTTCATAGCCTGCGTCTGCCCAGGAGCCAGGAGCATGGCGTCTCTCTCAGGCGTCTGCTCCCGAGAGGAGAGCTGTGGAGTCTGAGCTCACTTCCTCTTCCTCCCAGTGTTCTGTTCTGTTTACTCCTCCCACCTATCCTCTAACCAATAAAATGGGCCAAGGCAGTTCCTTTATTAGCCAATGACCTTCCTCCATCATTTCCCCTTTTTCGGTTTAAACAAAAAAAAAAGGCTTTAACTTTAACATAGCAAAATTACATATAACAAAACAGTTATCAAGTAAAAGTTACAATAATCTTTATCATAACTAAGGAAAACTATAACTATGACTAACTATTCTTAACTCCATCAAAGACTCCAGAAAGATACAATACTACCTAAGCAAACAAGAAAAAAGCAACTTTTAAAACTCTAGAAATGACAGAGACATCTCGCTGCCTGGACAGTCACCCAAAGTTCCTCTGTACCGTTGGGGCATCCATCTTCAGCCTTCAGGCCCATGCTATCCAGCAGACATTTCCATAAAGCAGGAAAATTCAAAGTCAGTTCAGTCACTGTCTGTTGTGTCCTGCAGAATGTCTCACAGACTCTCTCATGAATCAGGAACCCCGAAAGATCATCTCACCTTAGGCAAGTTCAGTAGTCTCCTCTCTGTGGGATCTCTGTGTCCAGTTTATGCAATAGTCCAGGCAAGAGCAGTTTCTTGCCCAAATGGCTATCAAACTCCATAAGGTGCCTCTTCAATGCCCATCTTCCTCTTGAAGTACATTAGTGCTGCCAGGAGCAGAGTGTCTCATTGTCATGAAAAGTCCTCAGTTATTAAAACATTAAATGTCCTATTCTGTAATCTTTGAAAGACATGAAGAATGTCTATCTAAAATATATCTCTATATATCTAGAAAATCTAACTAACATGACTACAAGCTTTACTATTATTGATGATTATCCATTAACAACCTATATTTCTTAATTATACAGTACATATTTAAATGAACTACACAATCACAATACCTTAATCAAAATCAGAAACACTTATACATATAACAAAATTGACCTTAAATCTCTATCAATAAAGCAAAATCTATACTAATGTAAATTATTCATATCTATATCATATCCCCCTTAAAATGTAAAAGAACGTTTATAAACCATATTTGGGAATATGGGTGCAGTTTTTTTCTCTCCAAACTGCTTCCTGCTGAATGGGGGCGTCGTTAATTAGGTCTTTCATGGTATAACCTGTGTGCTAGTTTCATCTCAGTTGGCAGTTGAGCGAAGTAATTTTTTGAAGGCGTGCACAGGAACCATTCAGGAGGACGTGGTCCATCATACCAAATCGGAATAGAAGAAATGAACAGCGTCTCATCCTCTGTGTAAACAAAATAAGAAACTCCTTTCCAAAGTAATATATCCTTAGATCCAAATTCAAAATATCTATGTTGGATTAGTTCAGCAGTATTTATAAATAAATATCTTTTAGCAGCTGTTGCTCCTTCCTCAGCATTCAAATAATTTAAAGAGAGCATAATAGCATACAGTATCAAGATTCTCTGTGTATTTTCCATCTTTGTACAGCTTTGTTTTAACCTCTATTTCGTTTATTTTTACTTTTAACTTTTTGCTTTTTGAGACAGGTTCTCTGTATCTTTGACCTGAAGTAACTCTGTAGACCAGGCTGTCTTTGAACTCTCAGAGCTCTGCCTGTCTCTGCCTCCCAGGCATTGGGATTAAAGGCGTGTGCTACCACACCTTGAAGTCAGAGAGGTCTATCTCCCTCTGCCTACCAAGTGTTGGGATAAAGGTGTGTACCACACACAACAACTCTCTTCCTTTTTTTTTTGTTACTTTAAGAACTTTAAATTTTAGTCTGCATGTATTTTTAACACACTTCAAACCATTTAGAAATTTTCTTTGTCTTTGAATCTCTCTTTACTGTATATCTCTTTTTCTGACCACACGAGTCTTTAATTTACCAAGCAATATCAGTGGGATTAAAGGCGTGGCTTTGCCGGCTGGATCCAGCCCATTCCTTAGCTTTCCAGCCTCATGGCTGAGGTACTGGCTGTAGCCAGCAAGCGAGCTTCAGCAGCCTGTGCTTGCAAACCGCACAAACCGCCTGCGTAAAAGACTCAGAGTTTGTCCTGGCAGGACAACCCAGAAAGCCGGCATTTTTAAACGGCGCAGCTTTTTTCCTGCTACGGCTGAAAACGGAAAAGCATGCGTTCAGCTTTTCGTCAACACCGTTTAAGTGTTTCGTGGCAGGACCTCTTAATGAGCT